GGGGCGGGTCCACCCTGTCCTGTGGGTTTGCTAAGTCTGGCTGGTGCTCGGACCGATTTGTTTATTGATCTATTGATTGATTTAAAGCCTTGTCTCTTTGACACCCCCACCCCCTCCCGCAGCGGAACACAGTCTGCTACAGAAAGCCTAGAAGGGAGAGCCTCCCCGGGCAGAATCAGATCCAGTGACCCCGCCGGGTTCAAGCTGGACTTGTGCTCCTCCCCCTGCCCCCTCTGGACACCACGTCCCCCGGGGCAGGGTCTGAGCGGCGGTCAGGGGGGTGGGGGGTCTGTTCATTTGTGTGTTTGTATCGTACCGGTACCTGCTGGGTTAATGATGTTTACGAACGAGGCATTTGCCCCCTTGTGCCCCTACCCACCCAACAGAGACGGCCACCCTCTTAGCCCAGGCCCTGGGCTGGCCGGGGCCTCCTGTGGGCTGTGACACCCTCATAAAGTCCCCATCATTCAGGCGATGGCGGGGTGTGCTGGGGGGCAGCCCTCTGCTCCCGGATCTTCACCGAACAGAGAGGTCAAGCAGCGGACGCCTCCCTGCAGGTGTGCAGCGGGGCAAGCCTGCCAGTGCCGGCCCCCCATGGGCTCTGGGCGCCCCCATGCCCACCGAAGGCTGAGCAATAAATCAGACAGTGACAAGACCGGTGTCCCGTGCCGTGTGACCTGCAGGGCCGTCACCCACTGCACCTGGAGGGCGGGCGGACTCCCTACCTTCATACCCCCTGAGTTACGCACCTGGGCCCAGGGACACCCTGCACCCCCGTACAGCCCTGTGCCCAGGGAATCCGCTACGCCCAGGCAGTACCCCCACTGCCACAGACCCCCTGAGCCCCAGACTTCCCCACACACTGTCCACACGCCCACAGATGCACAGTTCCCTAAAGAGGCACCACAAGGGGGTGGCTTCCGTAGACAGAGGTTTATTTTCTCGCAGATTAGCAGGCTGGGAGTCTGAATGCCCTGACTCTGGGGGAATTCTTTCTCTGTGTGGCTGGGCCCTGCGGGGAGGTCCAGGTCCCCCGTCAGCACCTGTGGGCCCGCGTTCCCTGGAGATCTCTCTCCCTGTGTCCTGACACCCACCTCCCCCTGGGTCACCTTCCCCAGGTCCAGGGGAAGGCTCTGCTCTCGGCTCTTGCTTGGTGGGAGTGAGCTGTCTGTCTGTCTCTCTCTGTCTCTGTCTCCCTGTCTCTCTTGCGAGATGAAAGGCGATGCCGGCCACACCCAGGGATGATTCCTCCAAGCCGCAGCCATGACCTGTCCTCCCCTCCTCGTGGTCACCTTTGAGACCAGAGACCAGCGCCATGTAGACAGGCGTGGGACTACATCCCCCAGAATCCCTCGCAGCCCGCGCCATCTTGTGGCTGCCCGGGAGAGCACGGGGTTCCCAGGAACCCTCACTCCCAGCGCCATCTTCAAACCCCGTCCCGATAACACAGGGCCTAAAACTACAACTCCCAGAATCCCTCACCCTCAGCGCCATATTCAAACCCCGTCCCAATAGCAACGAAAACCTGAAAAGTACTCTTCACAGAATCGCTCACACCCACCATCTTGAAACTGCGTCCCAATAAAAAAATTTTTAAACGGTTAAAGCTACAATTCCCAGAATCCCTCACACGAAGCGCGTTCTTCAAACTACAGTTCCTAGAATCCCTTGCAC